CGTGACACAGGCTGTGTAAATAAATCAAAAAATCATTATCTTACAGAGCAATCAAAAACTTTAGGTAAACCCAGGTAAAAAATACAAATGTAATTTTTGCAAATGTATTTGCAGTACTACTATTTCTGCAAATACATTTATATAATAATTACATTTGTATTTTTTACCTAGATTTACCTAGAGTTCTTCATTGCTCTGTAGAATAATGATTTTTTGATTTATTTACACAGCCTGTGTCATATGTCATAAAAAAAAAGTAAAAATTTTTAAATACAGCCAGAAGCAAATTGATCTAAAAGACACAAACTTTGGTCAGAATTCTGGTACATCACTACAGGTAACGTTGTTGACATGCATCATTCTGGAAGACCACTGAAGCTTAGTGACCATGACAAAAGTAGCATATTCAGAACCAGTAGAAAAAATCCTAGACTCAGCAACAAAAACTCAAATACTCAACCAGTTCTTTTCTAATCAAAATGTAAACAAAGAACTTGTTAGGACATTAGCAAAAAAAGGTATTGGGTCTTACAATATGTAATAAGAAAACCTGTCAATCATGGACCGACACAAAAGACAAAAATAGTGCAAAGAATGTTTGCATTGGGCAGTTGAATATTAGGCAAAAATGATATTGAGAGATGAATAAAATTTTCAGGTTGTAAACCACTAAGGAAGAATATATGTTAAAAGATTTACAACTGAGAAATATTGCAAACACTATTTACAAGTAAGATGACAAGATGGTGGAGACTCAGTAGGCCTTCAAAGGCCTTGGTTTTTGTGAGTTGCATAATGGCCGTATCAACCAATATACCTACAAAAACACACTTAAAACATGTTTGATTCCATCAACAAGGTAATTGTATGGCAGAAGCAAGCAATACATCTTCCAGCAAGACAGGGCTCCAGCACACACAGCACATAGTATAATAAACTGTTTTACCACAAAGAAGATCAATCTTTTACTTTGGTGCCCAGATCACCAGATATCAACCCAATAGAATATATTTGGTCATGGATTGACACTAAATTGGTAAACCATCAAATTCAATCAACTGAGCATTTGAAGCAACTTCTAAACAAGGTCTGGTTAAAAATGCCACATGAGATGTGCATGAAATTGGTTGAATCAATGCAGAGA